ACGGGGCTTTCTCCATCTTCTCCGAGTTCGTAGACCGTGGAGTACTGGATCCGTACACCGTTGAGTACTGAGCCCGTTAAGTACTGAGCCACCGTTAAGTACTGGAACCGTTGAGTACTGAGCCCGTTAGGTACTGGAACCGTTGAGTAATGAGCCCGTAGACTCCGTTGAGTACTGTTACGGCTATCTGCTTTCTGAGTTTGAGTCACGCGTGCCAATCCAGGAAAACGACCAAGAAATCCGAATTCTGGAATCACGGTACTATTGCAAATATAATAATATACATATTCAACAAACCTCAACGGATTCTCCTCTGCAGATACCGTAAGGTTACAAAATAAGCCGGTACAATCACCAGCCTGAGGATAAACGCAGATCACTTCACCTCAAAATCGATATCGTCACATCCAAACGGTATGCACGCTATGGAAGCACCAGGGGACAATGATTCTCCGAAGGCAGGTGTTCATGACAATTTCTGTGGGTGGAAAACAGAAATAAAGCTCATGAGCCGAAGCCCAGTAAGCAAGTTTGTACATCACCAATACTTACTATGAATCAATAAAACTGACAGACACCGTATACTACATCATCATCATCATCATCATCATCATCATCATCACACCTGATGATATAGCAATAATAGGTTACTTTCCAACTTTTTGGGAAAAATGGGCATGAGGTTCGACTAGATCAAAGACAGTCAGGTGGCATGAACTAAAACTGAAAACCATTGCTTGCCATGAGTGACCTTGGGCGGTTAGGTAAATGGCCGGAGTCACAACGAGCAACAGTGGATATGGAGATGGGGTGATTCAAATTGGGAACACATGTCAAGTTCTGTCTCAAAAATGTGGTTTAATCTGAAAGCAAGCAGACTCACTGGTTGCACGGTTGTGGGGACGTCAGGTGCAGGGGAATAGGTTGGATGGGGGCAAGTTGCTAATACATAGGGCGACCAGAACTCCGTATACGTTCATAAGCATTCAAAAGTGTGTATTTAAGATTCAAAGTGTTTGTTCTTCATTGGGCGCCCATGCATTTTTCATCACTAACCGCATCTGAGGAGGCGTTTAACGAACATGTTAAGGCAAACTTCGAGGTATTCTTGCGCGCAGTGAGTGAAAATCGGAAACCCCTTTTCAATGTTATGAGTGACTGTAATAAGAGTGCAGCGCTTGACCCAGAATAGAACACTGCACCGATCGCTGCTTGTTCCATCCACTCTTGTAGAAGAAGACAGGTAAACTTTCTCTCAGTCATTTCTTACCATCTTAGAGTGCAGCGACCCAGAATAGAACACTGCACCGATCGCTGCTTGTTCCATCCACTCTTGTAGAAGAAGACAGGTAAACTTTCTCTCAGTCATTTCTTACCATCTTAAAACTAACAACAAGATGACCAAGTCCTTGCACGACCGGCTTGTAAACCAACGGCTAACCAAAAAGGAGTTGGGAACTTGCTGAAATACAGGATGCCAGGAGTAGTTTTTAGCTGATCAGTTCATGAGAATACTTACCACTCGGTTCATCAATAACTGCCACTTGAAGCGGCGAGCATATAAGTTCAGTAAATGATGGACAGAATGGCTTGATCATTACAGATGACATGTATTTGGTCCCGGTAGGGCTTGGCGAAACCGGACGCATGCCTGCGTTGGAGTCGATTGAAGGGTACCACGGCTACATATGCTTTATCATATCACAGCATATAGCCCCATTCCAACGTTTTTCAGATGTCGCAAATGTCAGCGGAACGCACGCAACGAAACAAGTTGTGCGAATCCTTTTAAGGTGACCAATGAACAAAAAATGGCTGAGGCCTAGGGACGGGGCGTTTTGTCATGTACATCACCGAGGAAAATGAACACTCTACCCTCATACGCAGGTTGTCTGGGGTGTGTCGGGAAATGAGTCGCAAATAGTATACGGTGCACGCGGTCGTTGCGGGCAAGTTAGCTGAACGAATGCAGATGGTCAGGATAGTGCCGAGCTGTGATGTTGTGTTGTGTTATTTCTCTATTTGTAAAGCTGTCAAGGAAGGCGTTCGAATCGCGTGGCTCCCATGTATTTTGTTATTAGGCACTGTCAACAGCCGGAACTAGCACACCATTTTGCTCATCCGGTCACCCTGAAAACCATGAAAATACAGTACAGCAGTAATGTTCCAAAACTTTACAGCGCCAGTTGTAGGTAAGGAATGGTTGAGCATGCAAATAAAAACGCTCTCTAGTCCTTTTTACGACCTCCTACCAGACTTTCACCGAAATCTTGTGCTTTACTATTTTCTCACGGACTAGAATGGCTTGGAGGATGCTTCAAGCCTGTCACTTCACCTGGCCCAACAGTACCAAGAAGTCTAACGAAGAGCGGCCAAACCAATCGCAGTGAATGCCCTCCTTGAATATAACCTTCACTTCGACAACGTAATCAACAATTTTCAGTGTAGCCAGGCGATACATTCGTTTACCAGTGGCTTTGAATTTGTTGTTGCAGTAGTGGACAACAATATGGATTCTAGTCTGTTCATCTTGTACTGAGGCCTCGAGCATTTCAAGTAAGTCTCATATTACTCGAGGCCCAATACTTAGTAGTTACCAGCCACGGTACACAAGGAAATGTGAATGAGTACTTTCGAATGAATATGTGTAAGCACGGCCTCACGAAAATGTCGCCCCAAAACACTCGCTTTACAGACTAAGTAACGCAATTAGCTCGTTATCATTCACAGCGACCCACTAAGATAATTTGATAGAGCAACCGGTAGCTCAATTAACACTACGCGGGGAAGCGTACCTCTCCCATATGGACCTATGTGATCATCGAGACGCCCAATAAATTTTCAAGTTGCTAATAATGAGTGTGTACTAATCGTGCGTATGCTCTAGGTTTCCTCGGTTGTATTGTGTAAGCAATGACAGCCTCGACGGACAATCTCAACTGACCACTTGAGATTTCCCTATTATTTACGGTAAAGGTTAATGTTTGGCGTTATATTTAGCAGCTCTCGATTTACAACGATTGCATCAAACAACCTAACATCATCCCACTATTAAGTTCAAAAGAACATCTATTCTTTTCCACTTGTTATAACGGTCGTTGCTGCTGGTAAACGTGATTTGATAGTTTCAACTTTGATAAGAAGCAGTTTTCCAAGAAGCGCGTACTGCTAGCACAGGTCATACAGATTTTGTGAAAAAACTCGCTCATTATAGCCATTTAATGGCACACCGTGAGTACACTCAAATACTGAAGGCATTACAAATTGTTAAGGATTAATGAGCGGTACCATCACGATGATAACTCAGAATAATTCTTCTCGTGATAACAGGACACAGACTTTTGCACTCGTCTAACTGGACAAAGCATACAAGACACAGAAACGGATGCAAAATTTTCCTCCCGTACATTTTGCTCACAGTGTACCGTAGACTATAGCCAGTTTCAAAAGTTAACACAGCTACGGAACTGCTTGCAACACCAACCTGCAGAACACCAAGTGGCAACTTCTGGCAAACCGAGACGGTACATTTAGTCGAACAGTGTTTTCAAATTTGAGGTACCTGTTGACACTGAAAGATCGCTGACAATAATGGTTCACAAAGAAGCCGCGGAAAAAGACAATTTGCAGCGGAATTTTCACCAATGAATTGGTAGCCCAGAAGGCATTTTAGCTTCAATGAAAACATCTTCGTTTACCGGATACCTATAGGTCATATGAAGCTGAAGAACGCTCAATATTCGCAGTCCGCCGGCATTTCGGACTAAAATTTGTGCCTGACCGACTGAAGTGTTATTCGAACCATCGTGCCGGACGGCTCAAGGTATCCGTGTTCTCGGAGGTCCGGTAGCTGTTTCGTCCCACTACACTGACCAATCGGACTAATCAAATGGAACAACTGTAGACACCCTCAGCATTTTTCCCATCTTACATTTCTACGCTTTTCAAGTCTAACAAGATCCCGGTCCTTCACGGACACTCAGTGTTGTGTGGCGTTGAAAGAGGTGTCGAGTTAGTTGGAATCTGTCGCCCGGTCTCCAGGGTAGCCAGGGTTCTATCAGCTACCTGAAGAATGGATGAGGTTGGTAGGGTTGTACCACTGATGAGGAAAAATCTGCCTTTGGTAACTGGTGGCATAAGATGTCGGTCCGCATGCGAGCGTTCAAGAAGCCGGCTTCGATAAAAGCGCACAAAAACAACATCGGACTAGTTCATGTTCGGAGTCCATACAGATATTTCAAAAGGTGATCGTAACAGTGTCAAGCGCTGCTTGATAAGTTTAGGACCAAGGTTAATCGAGGCGTTTCCAGGCGCGACGAAGAGATGATGATTTTCACTTTGCAAACATTTCCCCCATTTAGTGCCAAACAAACTGCTCGAGATAGCCAACAACGAATATTCAGTGAAGTAGAAAATCATTTTTTAAATAGCTTAACACTGTACCCAACTCATACTATGCAGCTACTGCGGTCTCTACGTCATTCGATGGGCTCATCAGTAAACTGGAGGAAAATGGCGGGACAGTAATGGCAGCCTAAGTCCTTGTTTTCGATAGATATCAAAGGGGAAGGAATATGGCATCCGTGCGGAGCCGCGAAGGCTCCGGCTTGCTTCAGTGCATAAATTTTACTGAGAGCTAAGCGGACCAGGTTTCGTTATCTGAAAATTTGCTTAAGCTACTTGGTTTTTATTATTGAATACACCGGCAAGAACATTGCGATTGAGCGTGATGCGTGGCAAATAAAGCGGTCAGTCCTGGTGCCGAGATGCGCATACGGAGTATTAACACCACGGCGGGGTAGGTTCGATCAGGAGAGGCAATAGGTGGGAGTGTGGGAAAGGGAAATTTAGCAGAAGCAATTTTTGGTTCACTTGCCATGCGAAATGAAGAATGAGGACCCGGCTGGTGACACCACTTCTGATGTGGCAAGACGATATTTTCGGCTAACATTCACGTTGTTTGCGAGCTGAGATACTGTTAGATCGCCCACACATAGACGGGAGGAGGATTGGAGTCCTCCCCCAAATTTTTGACGCGGAAGTCAGGCGGCATGGACGACTGGTAACACTACCACAGTAGTATAATTCTTCCATGCAACAGTTATCGGCGCCTGTTTGAACTTTCAACCGAGAACATTGGAAGATTTGGTTTGGCAGAGCCTTATAAACTGATCAAGCTGGTACAAATGTTTCACAATGTAACTTTCTCAAAGTAAACAAACTCAAGCAGTGTGAGCAAATCTCATTTGCTTCAGCCGTGCCAGACCTATGATATAGAACGAATCATGATAGGTAGGTATGTGCTTGATAAAGTATTCAAAGGGTGGTTTGAGAATTAGGCAGTTGATCTGTAACATCAGAGTGGTTTTCATTTGCTGGTAACAAATGACCCACAAGTGTAGTTTTGGAGCGAATTTCTCTCAGCCTGTTAACAAGACACGCATGCAAATTTCGTTTTTTGATGCGGTGGTGGAGAGCCGTTGAAGGTGATAAGTTGTCCTGTCGAATTCACTTTTCGGTAAAGCAAAGGTTTATTAGACTATCGATTGGTATTTGCAGATCCTTGACGAGGTATTGGAAGGAGCCGTTCTTTTCCTTTTTGGTTGTGGCTCGATTAGCTTGATCGAAATCTGTCAACACCTGTAAAGATCTCTTTATCATGTTGTATACATCGTCTACATATTGTTGGTAAAATGTAGTTGATCGTTCTCAAGGCAGCTCAGAATAACATCAAAGATGGACGGGCTCAGTGACAAACCGATTATTGGAACCAAATTCTTCGTATGGCCTTTTATCGAACCAAAATTAGACATCAAACTGGAAAGCGACAATGAGTCTGTTTGTTTGGTGAGTTGTCAAAATATTCAAGTTTGTTTTTCTCTTATGTAATCACACAGCTCACAAGCGGCCATTGCGGATAACACATCAGTGAACAAGGAATTTGTGTATAATGAGTGCATATGCTTCCTGTCTACATTGATATGTTTGCGAATATAAACGCGCCGCAAAGGCCGTAGTGACAAATCCTATGATGAACTGGTTTGAGAATTTTAGCTAGCAATATATCCGTAGCATGATATATAAATCCGAGCATATCAACATGAGTTACAGTGGTCAATGTTAGGTAGTCCATTGTTACGAACAGAAGGGGCACATTTAACGACTATGCGTGAAGGTGAAAAAACGAGCGCACAGATTTCCGACCACTCCTATCGCAGATATTGGGGGGAAGACCGGCTTTTTGGAGCAGAGATTTTACTGCCCCAACCAAAGGTAAAATACGGCGAGAACAATGTCGACTCTGTCTATTTGGAACGACTTCGGAGAACAACAAATGCGATGTTGCATACAAAGTTCAACTAACCCACAAAAGATAAGCGCGGTCCGTCAGGAAAAATGTGCAGTAGCGTGAGTAGTCGGAAAGTCATTGCATTGGACTTTCACAAGGATGTGAACGTCAGTTCTAAAACGAGTGCATATTAAATTATCGGTATCCCCCCTAGGCTTAATGAGATGGGAGCTGCAAAATGACGTGAATGTCTCACTTTAACTCGGTAGAGAAAATTACCGGCCATTTTTCTTTCCCGAACATACATCTGCTTGAGGTAATTAATGGCTTAGACTAAATATTCAGTTTGCTGGACAATGACAAGGATAAGAAAACACAATTTAGCAGTGGTTTCCAACCTAAAGACAAACGAAATATAGTTAGATATCTTGTTGTCGGGAAAAGAAACGTCTGCATCTGTAGATGGCTCAAAGTCTAACTTCACCAGCTAGCTGGCATGCTACGGGATAATGATCATTGGGACACCTCTCAAAAGGTATGGTCACTACAACTAAACAGACCAAACGAATCTCAGCCGTAAGGGAATCTGTTTTCTTCCGTCGTTCTTGGCACAGCCGCTGACAAACCGCTACGTTCCACACCATCATTTGGAAACTCACTGATGATAACATATGTCCTCGCATTCAAGCCTCTCAGTTTGGATCAGCAAAAAACAGCAAACATCAATTTTTTCCATTCTTCTTTATTTCAGAGTGGATCTATTGGCAAATTAGGGGACTCGGCCTCCACACAACACAGTTTAGTAAACATTTCATGCAGCTTCAGCCAGATTTTGGTTCAAGAATACTCAGCTAATGATTTTATTCTCCAGAGATAATCTGTCAATCCGCGCTTCAAACACGGTCATCTACTCCGAGAATAGTTGGTGCCAGATGAAAAAAATAGGAAAAAACCGGGTTTCTCCAACGAGGTTACTTGTAAGATCAAGGTAAACCCCGGACGGCTAGTCTTTACTTGCGCGCTTCTGCGAGCTTATCGAGTAGTTCCACTCCTCGGATTGCCATCAAAAGGATTTCTGGAATCGTGTCTACTTGATGGGGCCAACGAAGTGCAAAACCCATGAATAGTGGTACGTGAAGAAATATACTCCCATATCTACTCCGTAATAGTTGGTGCCAGATGAAAAAAATAGGAAAAAACCGGGTTTCTCCAACGAGGTTACTTGTAAGATCAAGGTAAACCCCGGACGGCTAGTCTTTACTTGCGCGCTTCTGCGAGCTTATCGAGTAGTTCCACTCCTCGGATTGCCATCAAAAGGATTTCTGGAATCGTGTCTACTTGATGGGGCCAACGAAGTGCAAAACCCATGAATAGTGGTACGTGAAGAAATATACTCCCATATCCCAAATATTTCTCCAACTGAAACGTGAGGTGGCCCATACGCATTAAAGTTGTCTTGTGAATATTGCTAACCAACTAATTCAGCTGAATTGCAGTGGAGTATCTCGTTAGTAAAAACCGGCATTGCAACCGAATTTTCATCACCACGTAAGCTGGGTTATTTGCTACATTTCAGGTGTCTGAGAAGGCCATCACAGTATAAAAAAGGTTATATTGACGGTCCATAAATTACAGAATAAGTCCGATTTATCTCAGGAAAGAGAAATGACGGCCAGGATTGTGGATGCGGTTGCACGTGAAGGTCTCGTAAAAAGTGTATTAACCTATGCGTCTGGTCCACAAGAAAAATTGTTAGCTGTAACTCACTGTGAGGGAATATGATGCATGAATTTGTCAATTTAACGAAAAATACGACACCGAGGTAGCCTTTGCAGAGGTTGAGTACACACCGGTGCGTTCAACTTTGGTCTCTGAACTATCACACCACCATCCCTAGTTAATGAATCCCAGCAGGGTTTGACACCACTTAAATGCCCACTGCCTGGATTATCGAAAGCAATAAGCATAAGGAAGGGATACAGATGTTTACTAGTCCCAAATGCACGCACACTTTAATTCCTACATGAAAGTTCCCTAAGCGCTCACTCAAGTCTCCCGGTTAGCGAGAAGGATGAACGGTTAACGAACGCGCGGTCGTCAAAAAATTGTTAACCATGTCTTGAATACCCAGTGAATTGTGAATTACAACCCACTACCTTGAAGGCAAAATCCACTCATTTAGGCGTTACAAATGTTTTAAGATCCACTGTTCGTTTCAAATACCAGCCATTCAATGTTAGCAGACCGATCGTGTTTTTCTACATAAAGGTTTTCTCGTAGCTGTCGATTGAGGTTCACAATTCGTCTGCCCCACCGGAATTCGTAGGCCGTTCTACTTAAAACAATGTGTAGTAATTTTGGTACCAACAAGGTAAACTCAATTTGAAAATGAAATTGGCAATGTTAGTTCATGTCCTCAAAAGTGAAGCCATACCTTCCGTACCTTTTGACCGTGAATCACCAGTCCTCGTAGAATTTTTAACTCCGCAGTACTCAGTTTATATCACATACGGGGGGTTTAAACTGATGTCCTGACTACCTGCAAGTGCTATTACGTCTAATTCTGTACACGACAGGTCCTCACAAACCCAAACAATCAGTTCAGGCTTCCAAATTTCCTATCCATACGAATTTTTCCAAAAGGACACACTTGATTTCGGCGTATGTGCTATCATACAAAGAGTAATCTTATTTGCTCTCTCTTAAGGTGCATGAGCATTAGTTACATTGTGTCCCTCCATGCTTTTCTGGTGGGCACAGTCAAAACCAAACTTATTTTGCTGCGGTTATTTTTTGGTGATGATTTGCGATTTTCCGTGCGTCTGCACCGTGAAATTAGTGCCGAAGTCACGTCTAACATTCCGCTAGTCACAGGGTGCCGTCCCATGCTCTCGCAAGGTATGTTGATTCATGAAACAAGCTGAGCTTAGAATTGTAGTGTTATTATCAACGCGCTCGCACTTAACTGATTGTTCTGTTTGGAGTTTGGTTGACTCATACGAATGACGGATAAAACTGGGCATTTATTATTCTTCGTGTTGCGTAACCTCGCATACTGAATACTTAACCCGTCTAACTGACACCGTATGCATTGGTTACATCATTTTTTTTCATGAAGATCATGGGACGCCTTTCGCGTGCGGTACTTCAGCTTCACTAAACCGAGATTCCATCCCCAAATGCTAGCGTGGCGTCAAACCACCCGCTATCTTGTTTATAATACTAATGAAAACTTGTAGGGAGCCTACCATTTGAGTCATGATAGGGCCCGATGACAGCAATATGGATAACGAAAACGTAATGCGTTCATGTTCGCAACGACACCAGATTATTGACGTAAACATCGCATCCCACTCATTTTGTCTTTGGAAGCCTCTTGGCAGCCCACAGCCAACTTCGCCCCTCAGGAGTCCCCGCACGTGTACAATTAGCAGAGAGCCCCCATTTTCCCCGCGTTAAGCTGGTTATTAGACGTCACGAAATATGCAGACTCAGTCTACTAGACTTGCGTAGAGTACAAATTAGCACCAGGTAGAAATTTCCTCTAGATATTTCCTACACTTACGGGCGTAAGAAACTAAATTTAGGATGTGTACAATTTCTTCTCAAGTTTATTGTGCTTTTTAATATGGACCCATAAAATCAAGTAATGTCATAATAAGGGTGTCCGCTACAACTTCTTTCAAACGTATACTGTGGAGACCTAACCAATTAAGTCCACTTAAAACAGACGGTCTCCTTCCGTTATCCTTCCCTCTACGGAAATAAGTCTATGAACGGGTTTAAGATATGTTGAAAAATGGCAAAATTAAGGAAAACAAAAGTTCGTCTAACTGCCCGGTTGTGCTTTTGGAGAAGGCGATTATATGAATGAACTGACCATAAATTGAGTTGTAGCTGTCCTTCCGGTTGCAGAGAATTTTGATTTGCTCCAGCAATATCAGTATTTCACGGTGTTTAACTCACCCTCCGGATGCAGGCAACTAGGACCGGGACAAAACAACGTTCATGGTTACAGACACTCAATACCGATTAGCCTATCAAATGGGGGGATATTAGTTATATAAGCGCAGCTAGGTATGGCGGAAGCAGCAAGTTAACTGCTCACTGTCTAGGGACTGAATATTTGCAAGCGAACAGCCAAACTCGGAGACCACACATCAGAGACCATTTGGTCAATCAGCAGTAAACACATCTGCCTCGCCAATATTTCGACACACTGACAATCCATACCTGCTGAAACAAAAGTTTCATATCGAGGCCGGTCTCAATCCCATTGTGCAAACTAGGACTATCAGAGATCCGCGCGGAAAGCTCTCGCGCTGGGCAGCCTTAGTTACAAGTGTGCGACTTCATGATCCGGCATGTGCCGGGAAGGGTAACCAATGGTTGATTGACCATTGGGACAGAAGGCTCGGGATAACGCCGAAACATCATGATCGGCGGCACTAGCCTGGTAGTCAAACTGAATCTCGGAAGTTGCAACGGCAACTATGGAAGGTAGCCACCGCCTTGTTGAAGGTAAATGGTACTGAAAACGCGAAGGGATACCTAAACTTGGAGGCCAAGCGTGAATCGAGCTGGCATAAAAGCCCGAGACTGCAACGATGATCATCTTATACCTCTCATGGTATCTCGTGTCAAATACTGATCGTCGAATGCCATGGGATGGTACACACAGGATGCGCCAAAACTTACTTTCTCGGCAGAGGGCTTATTGACCACGGATGAGAAGTGAGATGATGGGTTATGTGATATTATGTAAGCGGCGCCAGCTGGTGAAAGTGAATAAAACATGGGGAACTCACCTTTAAAACATATCCTTGCAACAGAGATAGGCGAGTTATAGTTCACTGACGTCATGGGCCGCTTCCAGTGACAAAGAGTGGAGAAGAATATATCGTCCTAATGACGGAACACCTATCTCGGTGGGTTAAGGTGACAGCCATACCAAATCAGCGGGCAACGACGATCGGTGGAGTGGTCTTGTATCACATCTTGGCGGCCACGGGGCACCGAAAATGATCCTAATGTATCAGGGGCAGTGTATCTTAGAGTTAGGAGTTCAGTGGTTGATTGCTGCATCTGAGCATCAAGCGACCGAGAATAGCATTTAGGCATCCACAAAGAAACGGCCTGGCCTAAAGCACCAACCTAACGGTTAAAGAGTGGTTGGCTGCCGAAGGAGATGACTGGGAAGCAGAGTTGTCGGTGGTGTTTTTAGTGTCATGTATCGATCGAACCAACCACGGGATAGCCTAAATTCATGTAAGTGTACGGTCGATATTCACGCCCTCCAGTTTAACAGGAGATTAGGTTGAGGCTGGTAACTCATCTGTCTTCGGGAGAGCTAGGAGAGAAAAGGAGAGACTTTCAAAGCCATTAAAAACAGGACTAGATATAAACGGCGGTATGGAAGTAGGGACATCCCATATAGGCTCAAACCACAAAAGAAAAAACCGGAAGGAGTGGACTGGGGTCAAGGAAATCGGGCAGGCAGTTACAAGGCTTGTTTGTGGCTGCCGACCGTCTAATGAAAGCTTATACAATTCAGGACGGTCTAGGATCAATGAGAAAGCAGTGGGCAGCTTCGGAATTGGCATGATGCACCTGAAGATATTCCGAAATGATCAGCTCCTTGGGCTGGTAGAACTGAGGCAAACAGAACATCGATGGCATGCAAGTGACCTTTAAAGGGGAGGGTGTGTAACGGTGTATGTTACTGATGGAGTGGGCGAGTGATTCATGGTCTGGTGCACAATCTTCGCCTCCATACCTGATTGAAGGTGGGGTTTAATATTCAGGAAGGGTCAAGAGCACGCATGAGAATGTTAGATTCTTAAAACTCCTTTGCATATGTGATGTTTACCTTTGTGTTTAATGGCTTACTTCGTTTTCGCTAATGAACAACTTCACAGCGAAGGATGTTTCTCATTTCACTGGTAATGATCATCATTCACAAAGATGGAGTTTGGCTTCAACAATCTCCTTGGTTCACCAGAAGATTAGCAGAACAGGTACTACAACACATTTTATTGTGTAGCCATTGCACAATACAAATAACACTTATACACAGGAAACGATTAACAGAATGAAGCAATTTTATGGCTGACTTTTGTTCGCGAATAAACAGCTAGGTAAAAAAGGATGCTCAAAAAAGATAAGTTTACAGGTAAAAATGAGGGAAATTTTTCTTGGTATAGAAGAAATTCAGCTGAAATTCTCAAATTCATAAATGGATACACGTCGGGAAGTTGTTTCGTTTGTTGCGAACACCAGTTTCCATGAATCCGCGAAAAAACAACCGAGTAGCTAAAGGAACAATCAAGCTAATACGGTATTTTATTGTTCAGGTTTTCATTTTTCTTCATTTGCCACTTTGCCGAAGCGCGTCCATCTATTGCGGCTTCTCACAAGTTTGGCCGGAAGTAATGCGTCTGCGTAGAGCATGAGAATACACCGTCTATCCTGCTTGTGGAAATAGACCGAACGGCAATGCGGATTCAGAGCACACCTGGAGAGATGAAGCAATGAGGTGTATAATGTGAAGTGAATTAACTAGGTATTCATTAAACGCTACTACAGTATGATCAACATTGTTGATTATGAGCATTTCACCTCTGGACAATTCAGCGTTATAAGCTGCAACTGTTCGCCATGTTTTAAATCAATCGTTGTCGAAGGCGGGGAACGGCCATCTCGACGAGCTGCAGCATTAAGAATATGCCTCTTAGAGAAACAATTTTGCGTTAAATTTGGTCACTGGAATATAATCAAGTATGTCTGATCCCAAGTTCACCGGAATGGTTTGCTTTAAATGCGCGCGTAGTTTCCTCTATCAAATCAGGTTGAAACAAAATAGTCAGAAATGATTCTCTCTGCCTCTTTGCGGCATGCAAACACAAGTCAAAGAAAGTGAAATATGAACACGAATTCAGGTAGAAACAACAAACGGTCATTTCTACTAACTCTGCATCAGACAAATTCAGAAATTTCTAACTCCCGCTGGTTGCAAGTGTGCGCTACGCAACCATATGGTCTACAAATATAATATTCATTCTTACAACAGTATTTGTGGTCTTACTGTGTTTTACAGGATCTTCTCTTTCGAGTTTTTTGTCCCTCTGTGTAAGTGAGAAATTAAACCGGATTATTCCTACCGCAGCTACGTTTCTGAATTACATTTTTACCAGCGTAGGAATTTTCGGATTGTTGGATTCGCCTGAAAGCCGTTTGGCGTTGCGAGAGTAACGATAACAATCAATAAACAATCCAAAATACAACTTCGGATATAGATTGTTTTCTTGTCTGAATGTGCTGATTTCATATTGTACCTGATACACGAAAAACATCTCTTTAATTTCAAAAGTTTTTTTCAGCATTTGATCAACTGTGTGGGAATGTCTCCTACTCAGTTTTATTCGTTGACTAGACGGCCTCACTCAAATCCATTACCATTTCAAATTTCAAGCTCAATGCATCACTTTTTATACATGAGGCAGATAATTCGGAATGTGTTGAACTGGTTCTACAATTGGGTTTATGGAAAATTCCTGTTCCATATCTATATCTGTAACCATAGAAAGGACACAGTGTCGATTTTTCAGGACAACTGAGTTTTGCGAGTTGGCTTTGAATTTGGATAAAGTCTTTCCGCTTCTTTCCCAAAGAGACACTTATTACATGGAAGAACTTCCTCAGAACACAAGAATCCACATGCTGTGACTTCCCAGGATACCTGATACTATGTGTCATATAGAACACTTGTAAACAACAAAAGCAAACTCACGTTGTATGCACAACACTGGGACTGTCAGTCGAATAAAAACGATCAGGTGGTTCATGCCTGTAGATCGCCCAGTATTGGCAAATTTCATACAGATTCAATCGGTATTATGAACAATAGACAACACACGGAAACTTTGGCCGAATGCCTCCCAAGACCTTTGGATTATGCAAAGGACACCAAGTAATTCCAACTCAGAAATAACCCTGAGGGAAACACCTATATTAAATATTGTCCACATAAATAGTCCCGATTCATAATGATTGGGTGAAGAAGTTAAATACATGAAATGATGGAGAATTCCGTGAATCTCCTTATTCTCTAACTTCGAGTAAAATTACTCCCATAATCTGGCACATCCCAATTATTTTGATGCAGATTTGAAGCAAAATGATGCCTATTCGGCCGCACAAGCCGTCCCACTCTCACACGCACCTGTCCATAAGTGGTGCCCATTCGTCTCATATGTCAAGCCCGTAAGACAATCTGCCTGTGCTACAGAGCGTTTGGCCGTAACCAGTACCAACGATACAATTAAGACAAAAAATCCAATCTCAAAACAGGCTCGCATCTCATTCAGTGTTCATCTCAGCTGACGCGAAAAAAAGTATGAAAACAGGCATGACATTTGAGTGGAATAGAAGCATGGAATGGTGAGGAATTTCGAGTTCCCAGAGAGGTGAACAGAGACAGATTGATAGACAGGTGGATAAAATATGAGAACAATTAACTCAGACCTGTTTGAGTGATGGACTGTGAAATTATCTGGCCATGAAATGGTTAGCGATATGAAAATTAAAAAAAAAATAGATAACGCGGAGGTGGCAAGTCTTTTTATTCTATCTTCACTGGGATGCTTGGCAGTTTCCGCCGTCTCGGTAATCAGTCTTTGTGGAATGAACCATAGTCTTTGCCTCAAAATTTCTGCATTTTACTAATTACTCTTATATTCCGTGTCCGGTGGATGTTCTGCCATTGTCGAGTCTTTCAGTAACGCTGGATATTCATCTGTGTCTCCGCGGTCTGCTTATGTTCCTTTTGTACTCTCCAATTCTGGTGTGAAGTTCTTTGCCCCTCTCTCATAGAGGGACATTAGTGCAGTCGTTTGTGGACAGTTCCTTGTTCGACGAACGCTATCCGCAAACGTCACCACTAAGGTGCGCAGAGTATAGTCCTTCTGAAACGCTACTCTTTTGTGAGGCGTGTTCGGAATCCTTCGAGGTACTTATGATATCCTTGGTTTAATTTGTATACCAGCAGTCCCAATTCACTCCTCGTTGAGTTTCGTCCCCGGTACAAACGCCCTTTGAAAGTGATGCCCAGTCAAGCGAGCAGGATATCCACTACCCTGATGTTTGTTATTTAATTCAGTTTGGGCCACTGTCTGTCCAACTTCTGGAATGCACAAGGCTCTTACTCGCTTAAGAAGTAATAGGCGAATGAGTAGTTCAAAATTACCCAATTATCAGTTGGCTTATCGTGCACTGCGGCCTTTACTTTTCCCATGACCTTACGTGTCATTCGGCCTATGAAGGCCAGTGTACCTGAATTTGACTCTATTTCCATACTCAATTCGATGTGTGGATTCAGGTCATTGAGACAGTCGTAAAACTCACTGATCTTGTCTTGTTGCATTACGACAAAAGCGCCATCTACATGAAGCCAGAATATTTTGGGTGGGTTCGGGAATCCGGCTGAAGCTTTATGTCCAAAACCTTCCATGAACATATTTGCGGAAACCGTTGAGAAGTTTTAGAACACCTACCAAGAATCTGGCCAACTCATTTGGTGACAAACCTATTCCGTCCACTATGAGTCTCACCGAGACATACGACTGAGCATTTTTGGTAGACCGTAAAGCCGCGGTTGGATTGGAGTACAATAGATTCCACCTACCTTAAGCGGTTTATCATAGACCGAAAATACCGCAAATTCAACTTTACTCATATTCTTTTCACGTAATATTCTCACTATTGGTCTGGCGATAAGGACCCCCAGTTGGTTTTTGCCTGTAAACAACGGTGGCCTCACCATCATCCGCCTTTGCAATCACTGTGTTGTCCACCTGTTTTAGGATGTGTAACGCTCTTTGGTCTGCAATTCAACAGCTTCTGGCAAGAGCTTCTGCAAGAGCTTCTGGCTGCTGGGCCTTAAGGACTGCAAACACCTGTACCTACAGCTTCTCGGCCTCCATTGGCGAAATTTTTGAAACACAGATTCAACGCTAGGTAAAATTTCTCCCTCCCTTTCAACCGTTTTCTCAGTAAAATTTAAGCCCCCACTGAGCGGTTTATTCGATAAATTAACCACTCTACAGTAGCTAGTAGGCGGCTCACGCTTCGTTATAGGCTCACTGGAAAGCCAAGTCTTGGAAAGCAACTTTTTGAACTTGCACGTATTTGTCTATCTTTGCAGAGTTGCCCATGAATGGCTTTCGCTCCTGTCGCAATGGTTTTGAGTAACTGGAAAAAGCCCCTAACATCGAGTCACGTGGATCGGTTTTCCCTCATTCCAACTGTGACTCGTATACAGCAAAGTCTCCATCCCTCGACTAGATTTGGTTAGTCTTATAAAACCTCCTTCAATCTAGTGCATCAAGTTTCCCAAATTAATGCCAAAAGTAGCCACGATACCAGGTATTTTCTTATCGGTCAAGCATTGCAGATGGAATGCGCCATGGGTTAGGAAGCTTCTGCGTATGTATCATCCTATACCGAACTCGGAGGAGTTAAACACAACAGTTGCCATGAGTTCAAATTTGAGATCAGAATCAGTGGATTGATCAGGCTGAGTATTTTTCAATAATAACCACCAGAAAATGACATGTGAACCTCGGATATAACAAGCCACAAAGCGCAAACTATATTACGCAATACGCGAGTCAACAATAGTGAACGAGAAGATGCTTTATGGCGTCATGTCAGGGATGATGAGAAAATCTACAGCTTATCCGGTTGTGATGTTCAACTGTGGGCATGTTACGCAGTGGTGTCACTAAACGCTGTCAAGTCATTTGCGTGCGTGAAAAGTGAAACGGTGACATCGGTCGCTCAGCAGGTTGGGCAAGAGATCGCGCGTTTGTGCGCCATCAAAAAAAGTCTGGAACCCATCCTACGTCTGTGCCGCTTTGACTAGTTGGACTTACGAACATCTACGGCAGCCTGAGTAAATGAGTATTATATGCATGGTATACAAACTCTGGGAACGGGTCAACTGCTACCTTTGACTTATTTGCAAGAGTTCAGCACATCAAACGCACTCTCGTCATTGTGAAAACGGCGAATATTTGTTCAAAAGCAGTTTGAAACCCACTTTTGGACAAGTTTGACTTTCATTTCAGGATTACGTATGCCCATTTAAATGTAGCTTTTCTGCCTATTCACCAGTTCATTCATTCCAAGTCAACTGTTCACTTCATCATAATGTGGGTCTCTCATCAAGAAAATGGCATATCCACATTCGAATGACGTCAAACATTTGCATAACCACATTGGAATGTACAAACCTCAGAGACTTCGTTTTCAGCTCACTACGTCACCTGATGTGAAATTGCTGGCACCAAAATCCAGATGGTCTTTTCCATATACTTACACATTTTGTGTTAACCGGTTTGCAAGTTTCGTAACGCCAACCACGGCTAGATAAGTTGATATTCTGTCACTCACAACGGTTTGAGTTAATTATCTCCATATTTATCCACCTCTCTATCAATCTCTCTGTTCACCTCTCTGGGAACTCGAAATTCCTCACCATTCCATGCTTCTATTCCACTCAAATGTCATGCCTGTTTTCATACTTTTTTTCGCGTCAGCTGAGATGAACACTGAATGAGATGCGAGCCTGTTTTGAGATTGGATTTTTTGTCTTAATTGTATCGTTGGTACTGGTTACGGCCAAACGCTCTGTAGCACAGGCAGATTGTCTTACGGGCTTGACATATGAGACGAATGGGCACCACTTATGGACAGGTGCGTGTGAGCATGAGACGTTTTGTGTGGCCGGATAGATATCATTAATCGGTCGGTCTGAATTATACGCAGTGTGTCTTGCCCCGTGTATTCTGACCAACAACATGATGCAGAATAATCCCATGCCGGATATTTTGTCTTGCGTTTGTGTTGCGCGGGTAAGCAAAGGAGTACGCCGTGTTTTGAGCTGAGGGTGACCAGGGTGTTCCAGTGAGGTATTCCGGTTACGCGCTTTCCTCATACTAACTGATCGTTAGATCGCTAACCAGTATTCTCGTCCTCATCCATCGCCGACAAAAAGTCACCTGTTTTCGTCGTGTGATATTCACTAAAATTCCACTTCCACATTAGTACTTATCTGCTGAGTGAAATCCTCATAAATATAATATATCTCCACAGGTCTTCGCCAATTTTTTTCCAATTAGTAATGCCACTGTTGCAGTCTAGTAGACAGTGTTTAAGCTCATGATATTTTACAGTAGGAATATTAGTGAGATATAGCAGATTGACTGTGGTAATGTGAGGATGTGTGATTGTTTTTCAATAACCAATGTAATATCGGTATAACCCGCAGAACTAAGTGCCTAAATTTTTACGGTTTTATTGCTTTGTCCTCAAAACTGCACCAATTTTGGTAACGATAAGAATTGCTGGGTAAGTACGCGCATCATTTTAATTAACATGACAGTTGTAAATGTTTGCAGCTTTTGGGTTTTCAAAGCTTCTCGTTTGAAGACGGATCAGCTGGTGGCAACCCCTTTTAAATATGGATGATTCCATCGCGGAGGTCACTGAATAACAACTAGGTGGTTTCCTCTAAATCGAATAACAGTTTTCGGATGTGATATTTTCGATATCTGTATTAGCTGAAACTATTGCAGTTGACTGTCTTGTCATCGACGGAAGAGTATATGACTTCGGTTTTAATATTTTCCTCAGTTTGGTCGAAATTTCGTTATATTGCACTTCCGGAAAGCGGAAAATTATGGAGTGCTCATAAATGCTTCAGTCGTCTATTGATGTGTATTCTGAGCGTCATACGAATTGTTTTTCCATGACAAGAGACTATCCAGTGCAAGTAAATTTTTGGTTCTTGGCCTTTGTACTTTAAGCCCTCTGTAAGTGTCAGAGAACCGTGAGAAGCAAGTCTCCATCAAAGTTCGTTTTAAAACCTCCTCTCTGGCGCATCTAGCCTTAGAAGTACACATGGTTACGTGCAATAGAGTTTTAATAGTAAGGTCCTTAGCACTCCTGTGTCAAGTCTACATGAAAGTAATCCAGCACGAAACAATAAAAAATGAAACGACAATACGCATGATGTAAAGTTTAACAGAGTTGAACTGGAAGTTCAGACACATATGTCAGTCAGTGTTAGGGAGGAATCCATTCGTGCATTGAAAGACTGACGTACAATGGACGTTTCTACAAACATGTATCCTAACATTTTTCTCCCTGTCATCTGCTGTTGTTCTCTTAAGTCAGTTGAGGTGCGTGACAAAACTGTCCCTCTGACCTATTTTATCCCTTCTTATCCGTGAAGATGTTTTGTGGACTTTTCCATTTGTAGTTAATACAGGTCGACTGAATATTCTATGTGAGTTTACCAGAGATTCCCCAAAGCGAATCACCCAACAAATCCGTAGGCATATTTTAGCCAGAGAGTCGTTTGTGCCAACAGGTTTGCGGTTCCCTATGTTTCAAGTGAGAGCAATACTGGAGACCATACCAATTCCTTCTCTTCAGGGAAATCAGTGAATGATATCCTTTGCATGCCTGATGGATGTATACTGAGCTTTGCAGCAGATTTAGCTATACCAAGTGACGTTTGAATGCACAAAGCTCACTTTGATTTTTGGATGTCCTAACAAACGTAAGATTGATATTATTGGTGTTCATGGTAAGTTTTGGGTCAGATAAGAAAACCTTCAGTCAAGCTAAATTCTGTATCCTATTGGGAGGCTAAGATGAACATAATGATAATAACTTTCACCCGACTAATAACCACAAGATCACAACAAGCTCGCTGAATTGTTCGCTACTGTTTGAATCAGTCTGTGAACTCGGTTAAACCAGCAGTTCCGACAGCTGACCTACTGACAACGACTCACTGAGACAGTTTCACCTCCAGTTCTTCTTCAGACTGCTCCGTGTGAATAATCATCGAAGCTTGTCGATAATCTCCGAATTACGACTTCGGTTTACTGGAAGTTCAGAATTCGGATCGTATTGGAATCAGAAAATCCTGGACACACTTGGCCTTTTATCCGTAGTGGCTAGGCGGATAGAGGGTTTTAGACAGTAGAATGCACGAAACAACCTGACTGTTTGGCACTCAGAAGTATTTATGTAATTTTTCCATGAACGAGTGGTGAGCAAGATATAATCCACTTTTCTTTGTTGGGAGATAGAATCTAAGCCTTGAACTACTAAAAATATGTTTGAAGCGAAAATTACGTTATAAAACGGAGTTAAGCGTCCATGTCGGTTCTCAGGAGCATATTTACCAAATCAATAAACTAAGTTCTGGAATTTTCAGGGGTAAATATTGCTCGAAAGAAAGCAGCACCGAAAAATGCAAGTATCAGTCCCAATATGACTAGGGGATGTGAAATAGCTTCGCAGCTAAGAAGGTCCTTAGGTCGAAACCAAATTCAGCATCTTAAATGCTCTTTTACAGGCTTGAGCAACCTGGCAAATTTTCTGACCATGTGCTTCCTGGAGGTGGCATGGCAGCTAGGTACCGGAGGCTCTTAAGACCTGAACAACTACACTGCCAAAAATGCTTCATACGATCTCTCAGTGCGCATGGTTTGTGCAACCCAATCGCTTGACGGTATTTTAGACCGTTTCGATCCAACCAATTAGGCAACACTTTGATCCCAAAGATAAACACTTTTCTGTTTCTCCTCTCGTTTTGCCCATTAGCTTTGTAGTCACCTTTTGACGACCTTCAGAACACAGTGGTATTACTTACTCTATTCTCCTGGTGAAATCATTGGAAACATCTGCGGGTATGTCCTAATGGTTCTTCAAATTCCCCAAGGTAAACTGGATGTAGTGGATAGGTAGGTAAATTTTGAATCTAGGTGAATAATCTTGCTTGCTCGGCGGTTTGGACAACAACTTTTGGCGCACCAGAAAGACGTATATTGATGAAATATCGGTGTCTGATATTCAGAGCTTGATCTACATTTCCAACCATAAAGCTGGTGGATAAGCGTTGCTTATTTGAGTAAGACAGATTAGTAAGACAGATTTAGCCGTTTAAAGCATTAATTAGCATCTTTTAAGGAATACGTATGTCTCTTTCTTCTTAGAACTCTGAAATTCGATGTCTCATTACATGGTGAACTTTGGAAATACACACACTAGCCAATTGAAATTAGTACGCATTTTCGCGTCATCGGTGTAGCCGAAGGTAGATCCCACAAATTTCCGACAACACATCCCAGTTTGGTGCTTACCTACTTTCAGTCTGTCAAATATTAAACGCAAATTTTGTTTCCCCAATAACGGTGTGCAATTCCTGCATGTCGATTGCCGAAGTGTACAAAAGCCTTGCAACAATCAGTGGGAAATCAAAGAACGTGGTACGATGTCCTATTCAAGCAAAACAATACCCGCATTTTTTGTACCATTATCAGCTAAAGAGTATTGCTCTAAGTGTGTCACATATGTTTCGCCAACTTACGTAGTTTGTCGTGCAACGTAAGAATATTTATTGTCCTTTTATCGTCCATGCTTGTGGGACATCTTCAAGCTAAACATAATTCTTGATTCTGCCGGGAATCACACTGTAATTCCAGGTGCAACATTTGGATTGTCATTATAGTGTTTAGGAATTTTTCTCCAGACAACACTACTCTCAAGGTTGCTGAGAACTCTTTTCAGCCTATTTCTCATTTTGCTGGTAAGGTCAAACCCCGAGTGTCCGTCAAACTTATGTTTTACTTGAACCCAAATTGTACGAAATTGGTGAAATACACTCATTTGCACACCAATTTTGTTGCTACGGGAGAATCAGCCAGATATATGCTGGACGTTGCCCTTATGATGTGTGTTTTTTATAATTTATTCCTCTTTGAATCCGAGATAAGAAGGACCGGTTAAGCCGTTCGTCTGTCATAAGAATTGATTTTGTGTCCTAAGACACTAAGCTACAAAACTGGTAATAGTGCATAAGTGACTCCAATGGCTTTCGTAGGGTATTCCGTGCTAAAATACGGCTTGCTGAGTTCATTACTATTGGCATTCTGACGTGAAACGTGTCAATTACTTCCGAGCACACCAGATTTGAGTAAATGCCGGCAGCTGCTCGCAACACCCTATATATCCTGCACGTGATTCTACCAGCTTTGTGACAGAAGCCAGGAAGCCTGGATGAAACTGATAGAGATTCCGACTGTCAGACAATGATCCACCGTGTTCGCAGTACACCCGAGCGTTGATCCATGTGCAGTCCAAGCCAGTATCACGCATTCGTTTCGCTGCCTTATCATAAATTATTGCAGGATCAGTGGTTGGTTCGGCTGGTGCCCACCGAAATTCATTTGTCTTTCTCATGAACCCCGGCGATCTGGAATCTACATCGCGCCAGACTTTATTAGAACTCTGTCCCTGAAACAATCGATTCAGTCCTGTGCAGCTATTTGATGAAATAGAATCACCGGATGTAATATTCAAAAAGTGTCTACCCATGAGAAATGCTAACTGTCCGCTCTGTTCCCCGTATCTTGCACATTTAGCACGTGCGTCGCAGAAATGCCGTTCGATACCAAGATCAGCGACGCATACACCAGGCATAATCTCTTGGTAATTTGAAAGACAGTTCGTATCCACTTTCAAAACCGGTAGAGTGACCAAGAATAGTAGGGATAACATGCCATTTTGAGAAAATTGCCAGTGTAGTTTGAACATGGTGGTTTATTACGACGCGGGAAACCCCATAGGTTAGTGGAATTCACCAATCGGAATTAATGGTCACATTATAGCAGAGCGAACCGGTGTATGGAAGGAGAATTGGCTGATTGGACTTTAGGTTTGACCTTAGGAGGCTGGTAGTATACGTGCTCAAATGAATGTGATGCGTTTTTGATTCTGGGCTGAATGGTGGGCTGGAATCCGCTTCCGGATTGGTCCACCACACCGGTAGTTTACACTGAACAACCTGGACAACCGGCCAAGTGTGGAAGTAAGCAGTAGGGACAAGTCTAAAAACAACGGCGTGCCGACGGGTGGCCCATACTGGCAGACGAATTGTGCTAACTAAAGAGTACACCCAAAGCGTACGCCACAGTGGCTGCAAAACAGTCGGGACACAAGTGGCAACGTGGCGCTAGGAGTTATTCAGCATGCTCTGTACAGCTATAGTCAGAGTGAGTCACTCCTGGGCCTCGGTGGATTTGACATGTCTGCAGTACTAGAGTAGGTCATTTCCAGAAGTTGCCATTTCCAGGAGTTATCATTTCTCCGCTTATCCTTGAATTGTTGCAGACAGAATAGTGGCTGTGGAGTGGCATTAAGTGTTATTTAATTCCAAATTTCAGCGGTATACATGACAAATACGGAGTTCAAATGTATACTCTACTCAATGCGTATCGTGTTCCGATTTTGAAATGGTAAACTGAGTTATACTCTATGCCTTATAACCGAATTGCTGAATTGTAAATTGGCTGAGTCAATCTGGTGAATTGCTGATGCCAAAATTGTGCAACACATGAAATCACAAAACATTTGTTTCATCATTTCGCTTACAGTCGAAATTCCGCTATGCCAGTTAATAGATTCGCCTTTCTGCTATGCCAGTCTTGCCACAACAAAAGAGATCCCATCGGTCACTAAATCTACATTTACACTGGAAGGTTTAGCAGCATCCACTGCCATGTGTTCCTCCTGAAGAGGTATTCAGATGAGACAAACTAGGGGAACATCCGAGAAAATGTTTGAAACTTTTTATATTTTCAATTTCTAGTCAGCATTTCGGGAACAAAATCCATCATTTGATTATTTAAAAAGGATGGTACGCCCACAGTTCGAGCAGTGGGCGTATTGAAACCTATATATGTGAAGAACTGCATTTTTTCAGCAAAGTCTACAAAGGCGTAAAATTTTCGGTTTATCATGGAATCATCCAACATCGAAAAAATTAATAAATCCCGAAATGAATGTGTTTTAGGACTTATGAAACCCAGCCGGAATGGTTCCTGTCCTTCCTCTGACTGAGTTGAATAAATATAGGTTCTCGCTTTGCCGACGATCTTGTCTAAATTTACAGCTCTGGTGGCAAGCAGTAATTATTTACCAAACCTTTGGCGTTGGTGAAACAGGAAGCAAAGTCCTAATGACGGCCAACAAAGAGAGCAGCCAGCGCCGTATCACTCGCCAATTTGTACCTCAAGGATGATATATGCCTTCCAAAGGACGATATTGCGATCGTAGTTATGGAACCATATCCGAGTTACCAAAGCAGACAAGTGGTCGCACCTTGCTCTAGCGATCCGCTAGTCAAAATGCAAAAGACTTTCTGATGATTTCATGCGTTAAACCGAACGGGACTTTGTTGTCAGCACATTGGCACTTATGCTTGGTGTTAAAACGACCAGAGGTGTCAGATTCAGCCCTTTTCGGTTGGCATGCACAAAACGGTTCACCATACAGTTCTGTCTAGCTATTACGACACCGTCCATTACGATGAGATTGTTCTACAACCCAATAGCATGCACACACACCAAAAACGGGGCGTGCGAATCCTACAGACAAAGGCCAGAGCAATAATACGCTTCGCAGCTGGGCACGTCACAGAATCTGTTTGGTCTCCCAGAATCCAGTTGATAAATGGTTTTCCCTTGTTCCATAGACAGAGCAGTCTGTTCAAAACCAATTAGTAATAAGATTCTGAATTCCCAGCCATCCATGTAGCCAAACCGGCTTTGGATGCTTCTGTCTACTTTCCGAAGAGCTTGAGTTGAGGTACCATCCCTTCCGTCACCAAAAATACAACTACCTCAGGAACTCCTCATGTGTCAACTTCTCTCGTACTTGCCAACCGTTGGTGCGCCGTGGTACCGTTATCTGCAAAATTTTCCCCACTATCCTTCCAACCTAATCCACTGATAGTCCTCTGTCTAATATTCTCCCACCCAAATGTTAGAAAATCCGATCGAAACTCTGAAGCTTATTTCTGTAGGTTGATGAAGATGGTTGGCTCGATCAACACTGAAAGCAACATTTTTTGGTATTGATACCTAAAAGAGTTAGAGCATAGACAGGGCGGTCATATTCAGTAAGGTGTATACGACACCCAATTCGGACAACACGAGTGATATATGATAACTTATAAACAACCTTTTCTAACCATGTCACTCACTGTAATGACTGCTGGCTACGCTGTTGTTTACGGCTAGTCACTTGCCATTCTGAATGGAATATAATTTGCCACTGGAAGCTTGTGAAGCATAAGGAAGGTGTTTTTAACTGTTGGTGCCGAAATAGGAAGAACATAATGTTCAAATGGTACTTTGACAGCCTGCATGCGCCGATAAGCAAGAACACCATCACAGCGAGCGCAGAACGAATAGAGGTATGTCGTAAAGTAAGTGGCCCAACCGCGACAGTGTCTACAAGACTGTTTATAGATGGGCTGTGACGGTCTCCTATTTTATTCGAGTATCTGTCAGAAGAATAGGGTGCAACAATAAACGAGTGCTTCATGTTTGAGGCTAAATTCTCCTCAATGGTCATTACTTATTTTTTAGCAACCGTGGGTGGAGTAGAATAGAGTTATATTTAAATGGCTGATGCTTGTAAGAAGAGATTGCTTATTGTCGGGTGCTTAATATAACTGTCACCGTCTCGAGCATGAAATGATGGAGCTCCGTGGTGTAGATTACCATATCTGGATTGAGAGTACCCAAACTTTGCCGTAAGAAACACTTAAAGTATATTAGTTGGACCAAAACCTGATAGCTGGTATTGGAGCTCTTAATCATTAGGTCATTAGGCCATCGTTTCAGTGATATGGAAGTTTCAGCGAGAATCGTGGGAGAAATCAACATCAAAGTGCTGAGAATAGTCGAAGCGATGAGTGCTAGGTGAGTATGGATAGAATAAGCAGCTGGTTCTCAACCGTCTGGCCTAACCAACTGTAGCTTGTGCCTTGACTGTCCTTGGCGTGCAAAGAGAAAAAGATCCCCATAAACTACTCACACGGTTGCTGAAAACTTTTAGCCCATGACCGGCATCGCCCAACTTGGGGCCCATCACGTAGGCGCAATCCCAGATTATCCGTCAAACTTATGTTCTACCTGAACCCGAATTGAACTGATTTTGACAAAGGCACTCATTCGCAAATCAGCTTGGTTTTCACGCGAGACTCAACTGGATCTCTTGTTTATGATATTCTTCAACAAAAGGTGCTGCAAAAAAGCCGCCCAATATTTCAGATGGTACGGTATTCAAGATATCTTAGTACATTTCCATGAACGAAACTACTCACAACTTTGGAGAAAACTGTTCGATGAAACCACTTAAAGTTTCCTAGGAAACAACTGAAATGCAAAGATGTCATAGCCATACAAGGTCTATTTCTGAGAATCTAAAATGTTTTTGACCTGAAACATCTCCGAGGTTTGCTGAGGAAGACTAATCATATTTTACTTTGTGATAAGGGTGGCGAAAAACTGAGACACCGTAATAATGACAGGCGCTCTGTAGCCTATCCTGAGTACACACAATAAGGAGAGCTTTCGTGCTCGTTTCCAGAATGCTGGGATTAAGTATTATATGATTTTTCTTCCAAAAGCATTGGATTTTCATTCGTAGCCCCATCTTCATCCTGCTAAAACGCGAAGCAATTATAAGCATGAGAAAGCAATCAGTCAAGCTGATTGTGATGCATAGTAGAAGTAAAGTGAGCTTAAATTCAGATGCATGTGAAGAAAATCAGCTGTTATGTTTTAAGAAAGCCTCATCAAGGTAACACACAGGGCCTGTGTTCCACTGCTGAGAAAGGCGATTTTTCCAACATCCATTGCAATCAACCAAACTTCGTGCTGTCATTTTACTCGACAAGAGTCGCTCTATTTGTTTTGCGAGTATTTACCAGGCTCTCCTTTTCGGTGTTGGCGATTCATTGAAGATTAGTGTAAACCCGTTGTGTGAACAGTTGATTTCGTTCGGATTAGGACTGGGCTCCGCCGTTCCTGTGAACTCAAGGGAATATAGTTAGCAGATTCCCTTTAGTTATTTTCTTGAAATTGGCCAATAAAACTCCAGATATATCAGACTCAAGGATTCTTTCACAAGTCGTTCGTGCACCTTTATGACACCACAAATGTTATGTTAAGACCGAAATCTGATTTTAGGCTTCTTCCGAAGAAAGAAATTCTAATAGTAGCAGGTGTTGTCCTTTTTATGACGCACTGCAAAAGAGTGGCATCGACAAAAGTCAGGATGCACTGAGAAGAGTTCCAGGGTGATCAGTTCAATTTTTCTGAACGGAAATATTCCATAATTTGTGAATGGATATAAATAATGTTTACAGTGAAGTTATTCTTCGGTCACCAGAAGCTCAACAGCAAGTTTTGTTTTGTCCCATAATTCAGACGGGACAAGTGACCCTCTGCGGACTTTTGACCATAAGGTCATTAGCTAACTGACCTGTTCCCAAATCTGAGTATAAATAAAGTGCAAAGTTTGGTTTCAAACAGTTACCGACTGACTATTGCTGATTAGTCACAACTGTCCACGTGAATAACCATTGGTTCATTTGGAGCGTCTCCTAGGCATCTAGCCGCTGTCCTGGATTTTAAAGGATGAGCACAGCGAAAATTTTTCTTGACTCGTGAATTCGCATCAAAACTAGTTTTGCTGTGAAGTAGCATCATTTGCTTATCGATTTGGTTTGGCCGGGGGCTCGTCTGAATCTCTTGTTTATGATTTTTTTTATAACAACGGAGTGTGTAGCACCACCTAGTACAATATTTGAGATATAACGATACACGTGTAGATGTAATATACTACTCATAAGTTTGCTGAAAACTCTTCTACAACCCACAACCAGTTTCTCCTTTCTTTTGACTCACCCGGTAGGCGCAGTCCAAAACTTTCGTCAACCTTATGTTCTGCTTGAACCAGAATTGCACGAAATTAGCGGACTACACTCATTTGCACACCCAATCAGTTTTCGCGGGAGACCCCGCTGAATCTCTCATCTGAGATGTTGAGCGACGAATATACGTATATTGGTCAAAGTTAGCGCACTTTTGGCTCAAGTAAAACATAAGGTTGACCAAAACTCGGGGACTGCGCCTACCTTATTAGCCTCAAGATATGCAAAACCTATCGTGGGTCGTCGAGAAACCTTCAGAAAAAACCTACGATTAATATGACGTGTCAGTAATAGATGAGATGCTGCGTGGAGGTAGCTAGTATGTTCCGAATGACGACTGATCTCGATGGTAGCAGAGCTAAATTTACCAATCATGACGGATACATAGAAGAAAACCGCAGTTACCTCTTTGTGATTAATGTAAGCCAAGTGATATGATAGTTTGAATCGCATACAAGGTATCTCCGAAAATTAACTAATTTCTCCTGTAGAACATACTCAAAATCATCTAGCCTTTTTCAGGAGGTAACTGTAAACAAATGGATAGATAAGACGGAATCTCTAATGGGAAGGGTAACAGAACGCATACAATGAAGCGCAGTGGAATCCACATTTCTGTTCAACTCTGCAGTGGCCTCCATTCGGATCCATTTTTTTAGAGTTTAACAGTGTAACCAAAACCTTCGCTTGAAATTTGCTTCACTCGTTATCTACAAGGATGGCGTTTGATCTGAAAACAATTGTGCGCCGCAACACAACTACAGTGACGTTTGCCAGACCATTGCAAAAAACGATTCACAGGACAGAAAACCCTAAGAGAACTAGTATTTTCGTAACAAGACACTTGTGGTACTTGTCAAAATCTAGAAGTTTGAAATGTATATACAACCAAAAGGCAACTAAGGGTGAATTTGCTCTGGTTATCTCCAAAACCCATTCAAGAAGAATGTGGGTACAGACAATCAGATATTTACAAAAAAACGCACAAACACAACCCATTCTTTGAATATGGATATCTAAGGTCTGTAGTTTTCCAGAATTGCCGCTCTGGAAAATCATTTCCAGCCAACACTGAACGATAAGAGTCGTGTCGAAAGCATTACACTTGTACAAAGCATGAAAGAGCACCACTTATTTGTGAAAGTAGACTAAAAGTCATTCAAAGTATTGATGTGCAGATGAAGCGAGGAAAGAAATGAAATAATTTCGAATAACCTTCCAACCACTGCTGACCATTGAGTATGATCGAAGAAGCTTGATTAGGAAACTGAGCATTAAAATTGTCACTTTTCGTCATCCTTTGTGTTTGTTGTTACTCAAGGTAAAAAACCTTCATTTCCCCGTCTCAAATAGGGCTCCAACTCAAAGGAACACTATCAGTAAAATGCTCAGTGCTGTTTCGACTGGTCACTTATGTTTGATAGAACTTGTCCCAACTCCCGCAACTCCCCAAAAAAGCGTGGATTGACACACTCGCCCCCTTCTGAATACGGTTAAAATAAAACAGCTGCAAGTGACTCCCCAAGGATGTTCTGAAAAAATTTAAGAAAAATAAATGGGAAGCGAAATGAAGAATAA